TGTAATTTCAGTTTTTTGTTTAAATAAAATTGTTTTTTTCGGTTAATCTTTTATTTTTATTTTTTCAGAGATTTCAAATCAATTTATATTATATTTGACAAAGTAAGTCCGAACTGATGAAATACACCACGAAACATTGTCAACCACCTTCAAACAAGTGTTAGATATATGATAAACTTCAATTAATTTTTGATGCTTCCGAGTCTCTGTATATGATGATTCAAATGACAGTAACCTGTAAGAAGGCATGTTAGACTTCGTAATTCATTCCTACTGTAGTCCAACAACTGTTTGGTATCAAGGTTCGAAGGGTGAATAAACGCCTTGGAGTGAGCCAATCCTGAAAGATTCTGCCAGAAGTCCATAAATCTTCTTGCCATCCAGGTGTTCAATGTTTATTTAACAAAGCCTAAAGCGATGCCACTGACAGGTTCTGGTCCGATGAAGCTGCTTGAAGCTTCTTGCAGCGCCGATACAAATGAACAGTAGAAAATGACAGCTTTGTTTCTTAAATAACTGTTCACATTGAATAAACACTTTGAACGTCTAGTAGTAAACAGCTAGTGATGACAGCTGTGGTTCCGACTTCGGAATCATGTGGGCATTATTAATCCTTGGTAATTCAACACACTGTATAAGTCGCTAATATTTCTGCAAAATAATGCTCATTTACTGAACCAAATTGAGGTTATATTCAAAATGTTCAGTATTATGATACTCTTACATATTTCAGTATAAGTGATACTGTCTTCTAGTTCGGAAATGTCATCTTGCACATTATTCAAGGTTATGTAAACTAGTTTCGAATGGTTGAGAATAATAAAATAAAATGAGTCCATCCTGAAAACTGAAGACGCGACACCTCCTTAATGTCGTCACCAAATAAATCATATTGACCGACTTTTCATTGTCGACCTAAATAACCACCTTAAACATTTTTTTTCTGAAAGGCGATCGAAGTTACGCAACATATGGAAACCCACAATCAAGTGAAAAATGGTCATCTCCCGCTAAACCGGTGAAGCGGAAAGAGGAGATAAGTGGAAATATCTATAAATAGTCATCTCTCGGAGAAGTCAGTCTAGTCATCACTCGAAGACGATTGTGGATACTAACAATAGAAACGTCATAAAGTACCTTGGTTTGGAATCTCCTAATTTTTTTATTTTTTGTTCAATTATTCTATTTTATTTCACTGTGATTTCATTTGTGTGAGTTTTTTTGCTTAATGTAATTGTTACTTTCATCTATTTTTTTTAAATTTTCAATTTATATGGGTTCTTTCAGGGATTTCAAATCATTTTATATATTATTAGACAATGGAAGTCCCAACTAATGAAATTTATTTTGTTTTGTCGACTACATTGATTGTAGACCGATATTCACTTGACCATATAACACTTGCAATTTACGTCTCACAAGTGAGTAATACCATATAATCAAAAATAATAGTATTCTCCAAACGAGTTATTGTGATGATGCTGCAATTCTTAATATTAAATTTCAATTTTTTTGTGATGGTCCACTCATAAATACTGTCGATGTCCCTGCACAAATTAATACAATCCCTAACTATTTTTATCTGTTTATATATTTTCAGATCATCGGCAAGAAGCAAATATTCAGAAAATTTGAAAACGGAAGGGAGATCATTCACGAATAGAACAAATAATAATGACCCAAGGGTAGATCCTTGTAGAACACCAGAGCAAGCATGAAATTTACCCGATGTGTTAATTTATTCAATAA